GGTTTTATCGCCGGTTGCCTCTTTTTTAGATTTTGGTTTCGTTTCCCTTTTGATTTGGCTTAAAAACTTGTGTTATGTTTGTAGTTTTCCGATCGTTTCCCTTTTATAGGGCGTAGCTTCTGGGGAAATTTTATTTCTGCCGGCTTTGACTCCGGGGATATTTACGTCGTCCGCCGGCTTTAGTTTCCCTCTTTTGGGCTTTGTATTTCATCTTTGACACCAAATCAAGTTTTAATAAAATTCCAGTTGACAAAAAAAAAAAAAAAACATCCTAAGAATACGTGTTAACACAGAAACAGACACAAACACAACAAGTAACTGATAAAATCAGGGATAGCTATATCTATCTATATGCACGAGTGTTTTTGGAGTGAATTCAAGTTTACATCTAAGGTTCTCACTGTAATGAATAATGACGATGAATGAATTCTCTACCGCGCACGAGTTTGTGTAATCAAATAGCCATTGGACTCAACTACATGATTTCGTGTTTAAATAACACATGAACCAATAATGTAACATACTAGCTAGTTTAAACGAATGAAGAAAGTAACGTGTGTTGTTGGGCCACAAATACATTGCATGTAGGAAAGTTATGAGAGTATATATCAAATAAAATGATACAAAGACACATCCATATACATGTACTAAATATATAGCTGTAATTTAATGGCGACGTGCTATACAGAAGATTATCTGTACCTTTGTCGAATGTGTTAGTTTTTAATTGGGTTCTAGGCTTCCTTTGGGGTCCCTCTACAGAGACTAAGCTATATAGAATACGGTCATAACAAAATCATCATCATCTATATTAGATAGTGCATTAATTAATTGGTTACAAAATCATCATCATCTATATTAGTTCAGTGCATTAATTAATTGACTATAAACAAGATGGTTAAATTTAGAAATTTCCCAAATAATATTAATCAAAATATATCATCAGGAGTTTCTTAACTAGCAAAAAATGTTGCTCGTATATTGATCTACCGCCCAGGGCAAATACGTCGTCTGATTAATTAAAAAGTAATTTCTCAAGGAAACAAATATAGAGAAAAGTATGGGGTCAGTGATTGGTTGGTTCGATCGAGGAATGATGTGTACAAGTGGCAGGTTCCAAACAAGCCAAGTATTTGGTGACCTGTTTCAATCGTCCTCAAAAACGACCTTTGCGCAGCGTTAACAATATATAAACTCATGCTTTCCCTTGCTAAATTCATCATCTACGCCCTTAATTTATAGGGTGGGCATTTGTATGGAACACTCTAATTTGGGTCAAAGAATGGGCTTACGACAGTTTGGGTCTTTTTTGTTGTACTTGAATAAGTCAGTTAAGCCCAACCATTATTAAACTTGCCCACCTCTCTCATTAATTAGGATAAAAGATTAATTTACAATCTACAGAGCTTAATTATAAGTAGCAAACCATACTTTATATTGGAACTTTATTGTATAAAGAATCGTATAATTGCAAAGAAATAGACGACGGACACAAAAGTAATTAAAACGGAGTAATCATATAATCTTTCCTTGGAAGCCTTAGTAAGAGTGATACTATTTTGCGTGATGATTTTCAACTGCAGCAGTACGATGGAATTAAAATAAATAAATGATCTTTTGTAACAAACAAGAAACATAAAATTTTTGAGGTATGCCCTGGATTTGGTTTTAGTTACGAATACTGTAATATGAAACATAATTTGGTTTAGGAATCAAAATAATTTTCACTATTTGAATTCCCTTTATGCAAACGTTGTAATAGTCAAAAGAAAAAATAAATGGTTTGATATATTAAGAAATGCAATGTTGTTAAATGGCGAAGTCCAAAATCATCAAGAGCATTAAAATAATTTGGCACTATGTGATCACTATCAAGAATAGTACTTGGTGTAGTAATTAAATATATATATATATATATATAAAACTTATTAGGTGGCTGTGTAACGATCAAAAGCAGGTTCGATTAACTAACTGATCTCAACCACAACCACTCGAAGATAATAATTCGTTGCGCTGCCTGTTATAATAATTCTAATATATTTTTGGTTTTTTTTTTCTTTTTATTAAGATTGTAAGCAAAGTTTGTCCTTGTAATCATTAGTATACTGTATGTTTCTTTTTTTTTTGTTTGGTATAAGAGATAACAATAGACCATACAAAAAATCATCTCATAGAAACCAAAGTCAAAATTAATGATGTATACTATACTAGCTAGCTAGACACCACCACCACCATACAAGAATCACAACATATATATTTAAAATTGAGTACTCAAGTTTCTGAAATTGTGCGAGAGTTGAATACAGACTTAATTACAAGTACAGTACAATGGTTGATTCGATTAGTACTTAATTGATTGATTCTGGGTCTCGGTTGAACCGGTCATGCGGCAACCAACACGGTGATCATGACCGTTGGATGAAAATCACGGACCGTTATATATATATATTTGGCCTCTTCTATTTCTCTCTCTCTGTCGCTCGTTTTACCAAAAAAAAAAAAAAAAATTGGGTCTGTTGGTCCTTTCTTTCTATCTATCTTCCATGGACTTGTGACGCGTGCGTTTGTTTGGCAGTTGGGTTCGTTCGTTTCTGCAGAGTTTCTTTCTTTCTTTCTTCTGAAGCTCTCGAGGAGGAATCAATCGAGGTTCACAGTTTGGATAAGAATAAAGAGTAAAGGGTTGATCAAAATCGACTGCGCAACAATGACATTGACGAGATACCAGATTCGGAACGAGTACGGCTTGGCCGCTAAGGAGCTTTACCATTCCGACGACGATCCTGAAGCTTTTCTCCAAGGTGCTTCCATGGCTGCCCTCGTCGGCCTTTTGCGCCAGCTTGGCGACCTCTCCCAGTAATTTACTCTCTCTCTCTCTCTCTCGACTTCCTCTCTTTTTCTTTTGAGAATCCCCAGCGTATAAATAAGAATGTATGTGTGTAATTCAAGGTTTTTTCTCAGAATTGATGCCTCTCGTTCCCAATGATTAGGGATTTAGATATGGAATTGCTTGATTTCTATTGGCACCCCTGAATCTGATCGACTCCCACAATTCTGTCTACAGTTCAAGTTTCTTTTTGGGCTGATGAGAGAATCTTTCTTCTTTTGTCCAAAATCTCATCACCATTAATGCTCTTTTGCCTTGGCTTGTTTCATCTCTCTTCATACTTGTATTAAGGTTTGCTGCTGAGGTATTCCATTGCCTGCATGACGAAATGGTGACTACTGCGTCACGAGGCCATGCCTTGGCGTTGCGTCTCCAACACCTCGAAGCTGACTTCCCTTCCATTGAGACACCCATACTCTCTCGAACCGACCATTCTACTTTCTATTATGATCCAGGCGAGTTCTTTTTCTCTATAAGCACCTACCTGGATTCTGTCTTCACATCCCAAAACATTTGAATCTATTCTGCTCACGCATTCTTTCAGGCTTGCAATGGCATTCTTATCTTCAAACAAAACAAGACCTGATTTCCCCACGCAACTTGCCTCATTGTATTATGGATTCTTACGAGGAATCCCGTGCTCCACCCCTGCTCTTCCTCCTCGACAAGTACCCATTTCACTCCTCATCTTATAAAGGAACAATCCATTCCATTCACACTTTCTTTCAATTAAACACATTTCTCCTGTTTTTCAGGTTTGATCTTGCTGGTTCTGGATCATGCTTGAAGCGTTACTCTGATCCATCTTTATTGAAGTCACCACCAGCTATAGCAACACCAAAACTCATCAAAGATGAGACACCGCGTGATTCAAAGGTGTTCATGTAACTCACCTCCTTGTCCTGTATAATAAACAAGCATCTGAAATGCACAGTTTCGGTATTATGTGTTACATCTGATCAAATATATATTTTAAACTTACAGAATAAAGGATCACTCCCAACTAGTAAAGAGGCACCTGGGGATTCACCAGCATCACATGCCAGGTGACCACTCATTCTCTATATCTACTTCTGTTTCTGTCATTCCTATGTCTAAAGTTCTTATGATCGGCCTTTTGATTTGGTGACACGATCTATTTCTTGGCTAGTACAGGTTGCATCAGCTATTCTTTCTAGAGCATGTTGAGAACGGACAGGAAAATCCTCAACTCCATGTGAAACTGAAGAGAAGGCAGATGAATGGACCGCCAATTAACTCAAGTTCCGGGACAGGTTACATGGACAAGTTCCTCAAGAATTCTTCGCCCTACTGTGAAAGAGTGCATGGGACTCTAGATCAGTCATCTCCGGCAATGGAAACTGAAGTTACAGTATGCAGCGAACGAGAAGAGTTACCAGTACCTTCCCTAGTTTATCCAAACAGTGGAGATACTAGGAGATACAATGAGATGGAGATTGAATCTATTGTTGATGATGAAAGACTTGAAATTCCGGTCAATGAGAAGTCTTTACCGAATATAGAGGGAGGACTAGAGATTTTGTTAGTAAGAAGCTCTTCTGTGAATTCGTGTTGCAAGGCCAACAATGAAACAGATGCACCTACTTCCATGGAGTCAGAAGAAAATGAAGCAGACAGTGATGACAGGGCTAGTTGTGACCTTGGATTTCCGGGATTTGGTCAGACGCAGATCTGTACTAATGCAGAGGTAACTCAAACAGAGGTTCTGGCTCAGTTTTCTAGTGTGTTGCACCAGTCCGCAAAGGAAGGAGAATCTAGTCTTTTGTGCACTGACATCGAGAGATCTTCTCTTGAAGGTAAGCCCTACAAAGCTGAACGAACACCTTTCAGTTTGTCTTGTTATGAGAACCCTGCAAATCTTGCCGAAGATTCTGGAAGTGGCTCAGAGCTTCAGTCCAATATAGCAAATGCTGATAAAATTGGATTGAAATCATTTGAAGACGGAAGAGATCCGATGCTTAATGTTTCCCCTGAAACTCATCCAGAGTATCTGTTGAAGCTTACACAAGTGCCACACGACGCATCCGAGGGTGGGACCAATATTCATCACTCTCAACATGTTTTCAGTGTGGACACTGGTTCTGAGATATCCTTAAGTGCTCTAGTTGAAGACCAATTCTCATCCATAACTAATCATGAGGTAGAGGCTTTGGAACCCGAGGACATTTCTTCTGAAGCTGATCATTCCATTCCAGATAGCAAAAGCAGTTTAGAAGAAACACCATCAGCATTGGACTCCCATTTTCTTCTTCCAAATCCGTATATTAGCACATTTGACGACGACTTGGAAGATGAAAGCAACTCCCAAGAAAGATCTTCCATGAATCCTAAACAGTCTAAACACATTTCAACTTCTTACATCAGTTCAGAAAATGGAGCTCTGATGTCAGATACTCCAAGAGATCTTCACACAGGATGCGGTAACCTCTCAGCCTCATCTTGTCGGGAAGACGCATTGGCCAATCCTGACCTGGCTGAGAGATCATCACATTCTGTACTGGAGGATTCACAAACCATGTCTATTGATGCAGATGATAGTAGTGAGCATATCAGTACTTGTTTTGCAGGTGATGTCGATCACGATAACCATACTAGCCTGAATAATAAGGCCGAGACCGTGCCCGAAATAGACTTGGAAGCTATTAGTGAACCACAGGAGAATCTTTTATGTACTGAAGAATGTCTTTCACCTGACTGTTGCTTACAGACACAGGGGCAAGAAAGTCCATCAGAAACGAGGTCAGCAAATTCCATAACAGCATCAGTCCAGTCTCTTCCTACGCAAAATGGACCTGAAGGTGTTCAGGGTTCACCTTCAGAGGAAGCATTAACATGCAACGAAACGCTTTTCCCTTCAAGCATAACAGAAATAGAAGCTCTTCATGCACCACACGAGAAAACTTTCACATCATTAAATGATCATATCTATGAGTCTGTTCCTTCCATGGATCTGACAGATGAAAAAGATTTCTTGGCCGTGTCCCCTGAATCCATGCTTCCCATCTCCATGTCCTTCCATGAAACACCGCAGGTTGATCCAGAGATAACACCTCCGCTTCCGCCTCTTCCTCCCACACAATGGTGGATAGGGAAGCTGGCTGAATCAACCGAAATGCCATCACTTGCAGGCAGTGGAAACAATAGTTTCTACACTCATAGGGATGAAAACACACATAATGGATCAGTTCAAGCGACCGAGGTACAGTATCCATCGACTACAGATGGTGAAAACCAGAATTCTCATGTTTATAGAGAAGAGTGTAGAGTGGAAGGTGTGTCAACTTGTGTACAAACTACACTGAATGAACCATGTAAAGCAGCCGAAGAACTGTCTCCTTCAGCAGTCAGTGGAACAAGCGACACCTATATGCACAAGGATGAAAGTACACTGAAGTGTTTGAATAAAACAATGCAGGCACCATTTGCAGAGGAAGTATCAGGAGGAGGCTTAGAAGCTGACTGGAGAGCTGAAGCAATGGCACTTGAATGGTTTAGTCAGAACTTAAGAGAGCATAGCAATCCCCACCCTGGAAAGTTAGAAGAGAAAGCTCAGGTCGATCATCCAGAAGAACCAACGGGAGAAACCTTACAAGAGAATAACTCATATGATGAGAATCAGAAAGCCAAAAAGCCTAAAAGAGAGAATGATTCGCTTGTTATTGGCATTGATAGAAGCATGGTAATAATTACTAGTCTAAGGTTAGTACTGAAATGGCCTATTTCTCTTTCTATCACGCTGATCAGGGGACTCAATTTTACAGTTGAGGAAAGTATCTGAACAGAAGAGAACGCAACAAGCGGACGAGAATGATTCACTACTACAGATCATAAGGAGCAAGGTGATGTAGTCATATTAATTAATCTTTTACTGTGTATGATGATATGATATAATTGAGTTTTTAAGTAAAAGCACCAACTGAAAAAAAAATACGTAAGCAGTCGTTCAACCTGAGACCAGCGGATGCCTCGGTGAGACCAAACTTCCAAGTAGCTGTTCCAAAAACCAACTTGAAGGTGGCAGCGATTCTAGAGAAAGCCAATACTCTTCGCCAGGTCTCTCATTCTCTTTCTCCTTGTTTGTGTTTCTTTTAAGGACAATTAATCTCTAAAGTGAAGGAAAAAAGTGATATGTGAATGTTATACAAATAAATAGGCAATGGCGGGAAGTGACGACGAGCATGATTCAGATAGCTGGAGTGAATGAATCTTTGAAGATATAAAGATGACACATGACAGGCAGACAGACATATACACACACACAAGACAGCTCTGTACAGAAAAGATTCTTTAGCTTTCTGAATTCTCACATTGTATTCTTTCGTCTCTGGTAAAGTTTCCTACCAAATGCATTCTCTCTTTGACACATTTGTAACACATGCACACACTGTCTTTTTACATCCAATTTTATAAGGAATTCAATTGATGTACTAGAGGTGGCTTATTATCTTTGGAGTACAAAATCTTTTTGTTTTTGTATGTTTGATCTCCCACCTAAGAGGCTAGAGAAATAGTGTGAAAAATAAAGATACAAAACTAAGTTGTATGTTTTAAATCAAAAATACATGGCCAGTTCAACCTTGAATATATGCCCCAAATTAACAAGTATATATATGAGAGCACAAGTGGAAACAACAGATGAAAAAGAAAATGGTTGAATTTTTTTTTGTGATTTGTTTTCTTTTTTAAGTTACGAAGTCGGATCCTACTAGGATGGGTATTGAGAGGTATCGTAAGAATCAGCCTTAAAGTCAGCGTTGAGCTATCCATCAAGTTGGAAAAAGAGAAAAGAAAAAAAAGGGTAGGGGGGGGGGGGGGGGTATATGAAGGAGGTTGTTTGATTCAGAAAAGTCAAACTCGAAGAGTTGAAGTTGAATCGTCTCTATACAGGTCAGGTAGAGGAGGAGGGTACACACAGTTGACGGAAGTGGTACGGTACGATCGCAGGAATATTCCGTACGATATCCCGGCCTAGCACAACAGTCGAACCGGGAGTCGCCAATTCTGTCTACTTGTTGTAATAACGGCGTCACTCGTTCACACGTGTCTGACTTGTGTTTCTGACCGGGTTTGGACTGGTTTACGTGAGAAAAGGGGTAATTTTGTCATTTCCTTAACAACAAGGTGCAGCCGTCTCTCGCTCCAGTCGTGCTAATCCCACCGCCACCGCCACATAATTTCGTACTCTTTATTTTGAATTATACATTTTTTTTTATATTGGGATATTATGTTCTTGTTTTTCTTTAATTTGTTTGTTTTTAAATTTGTTTATGGTGAGTTGATGGTATTCTTCTTCTTCGTTGGTATTATCAAAGTAATTTGTCTTTGTGCGGAGTTCCACTTCTTGTGCCCTCTTCATATTTTTGGCAAGACTAGTTATTGTTATAGTGGCCGTGATAAGATCATGATAGGTCAGGTGTCATCTTAGATATGTCTATTTCGGCATATGAACATACACCCCCCTCTTCTCTTTCCTCTTTCTTGTTTATTTTCTTTGGAAATGGAAAAACAAAAAAAATATATATATATATATATATATATATATTGTAATTTTTTTATGGGCAAACGAAGTAAAAAGTCACAAAAGGAAGAGTCGTCTGACTCGACGATGTGTCGTCTGTCGCGTAAGAAGCAATATAAAAACTCTCTGTCAACTTATTTTTGATGATTACACGTATAATTGATGTATGTACACGTATACCTTGTTGCCCGAAACAATAGTACTCCGCGTATATATAATAGGGAGAATTGGATGATGATGATGTTGATAATATACCTAAAAATAGGTTTGGTTATAAGTACGGTCACACCTAGGAGTTTGAACACAAATCAGTACTATTTATTTATTTCGCAGTTTTACATTTTACTCTGTGCTTTGTTTTGTCTATTGGGTGGTGCCAGTGGTGCGCACTTGTTGTGTTGTCCATACTCCATAGAATAATAATAATACCCAATGTTTTATTTATTCATTTGTCAACTTGTCAATAGAATAATTAAGTTAAATTGACCTTTTAAGGTCTTTTTTTTTTTTGCATATATCACATAACCAAATATTATTAGGTGGGGGGGGGGGGCAGGGGCGGACCCAGCCAAAAAAATTTGTGGATGCAAAGTGACAATTATAGGATTCGAACTCACCAACTCCCATTATGGGTGTAACATAACCATTTTGCTACATTAACAATTATGAACATAATAAAAATTTTAACATTTTATAAGTTACTGGTGGCAGCTGCCACCACCACCTATGACGTAGGTCCGTCCCTGTCGGGGGGGGGTCAGAAGAAAAGCGCAGTTATTGGGGGTTTTTAAGTCGAAAAAAAATGTGAAATTAGAATTATGCGATTTGATAGAGAAAACAACAAGAGACTAGAGAGAGATGGAATATGAATCAGTGTTAATGGACGGACAATCACGGGTTTTTAAAGTTGGAGACAAGAATATTTAGATAGATTGATACATATTTCATTTCATTTGATGACATATTAGAAAGAAAGAAAAAAAAAAAGAACACTTATCTCCCGAATATTTTCTTGGTCGGCTTGTCAATATTATTATTGGCCTCATTAAATATATATAGATATGAAATATTACTATTTTTCATGTGAGATAATATTTTTGAGAGGGTGTAATTCAGGGGAAATAAATAAATGAATTCAGGGGAGGGATTAATTAGAATAAAAGTGAAAATTATGAATTTTTTTTTAAAGAGTAAATAAATAATAGAAAAAAGGGGAAAGGGGGAAGATATTTTGTAAGTAAGTAAAAAAAAAAAGAGGAGGGAAGGTGTTTGATATCTCGTACAGTCCGCACTGGAATCTGTCCTTCCTCGCATGCTTACTCCACCATATAAACTTCTTTTTTTACCAATCCAATCCAAATTTGGCCTAACTTCCTGATTGCGACTCTTCTCTCTCCCTTTTACCTTTTTGCCCTTCTCCATCCGTCCTTCCCCGTACGGTTCTTCTTCTCTCTCCCGCAAACAACAAAAAAGCAAAGCAAACTGTTTCTTAATCTTCTTCGCTCGCTGCTTTATTATAATCCAATCCTTTCCTTTCCTTTAGATAAAACATAAAAAAAAGGGAAGGAAGATACATAATAAGCTTCCAAAGCATGAAGAAGGTTAAGCAGATTCACGTCTTCAAGCCTAATTTCGATCTTCTCTCGGAGGAGCTTGTCTTCATCATCCTTGACCTCATCTCCCCCAACCCTTCCGATCTCAAATCCTTCTCCCTTACTTGTAAATGCTTTTACCACCTCGAGTCCAAGCACCGCACCTCCCTTAAACCTCTCCGCTCCGACTACCTCCCTCGCATCTTGACCCGCTACCGTCACACTGCCGATCTCGATCTTACCTTGTGCCCCCGCGTCTCTGATTACGCCCTCAGCGTCCTCGCCTCCCTCTCCGGACCTACGCTCCGCTCCCTCGACCTCTCCCGCTCCCGCTCCTTCTCCGCCGCCGGACTCCTGCGGTTGGCCCTCAAATGCCCCCATTTACTTGCGATTGACCTCTCCAACGCTACCGACATGAGAGACGCCGATGCCGCTGTGGTAGCGGAGGCGACGAGTCTGGAGAGCCTCAAGCTTGGCAGATGCAAGATGCTGACGGACATGGCCATCGGATGTATAGCTGTCGGATGTAAGAAGCTCACTTCTGTTTGCTTGAAATGGTGTGTTGGCGTCGGAGACTTGGGCGTTGGTTTGCTTGCCGTCAAATGCCTTCACATTCGCACCTTAGACCTCTCCTACTTGCCCGTAATCTCCCTCTCCCTCCCTCTCTCACGTCCTTCTTTTAATTTTCTGCAGCAGAGCCAAATTTCGCGATTTATTCCTTTCTAAATTAGGGATTCTGTTTTTTCGATTTTTTTTTTTTCATTTCTAATTCCGTCTCCTGCGGGTTCAATTTGATTGAAGTCACCAACAAATTACGTCGTTGCTTATTATAAAGAGATTCCCCAGATTTATTTTATTTTTGGTTGGGTTTGTTTTTTTTTGAACACACAAGTGTCATATATTTGGCTTTGATGTTGAAAGAATCTTGAAAACTCAAACCTATTTTACCAACTCAACGACTAATATTTCCTTTTTGTTTCGACAGATCACAGGCAAGTGTTTGCATGATATTCTGAAACTTCAACACCTTGAAGAACTTCTTCTAGAAGGATGCTTCGGAGTAGATGATGACAGTCTTAAATCCCTCAGACATGATTGCAAGTCACTGAAGGTACCCTCTCCTCCATGAAACTTGTTTCATTCTTTTTATTCACATGATCATTTAGTTTTTTTTACTAGTGGATTTTGATTGACTTGATATCCGATATAGTTGAGAGTTTTATAACTGAAAACTTGTTATTCTCACTACGTTTCTTCCTGCTCGCTCTGGCAACCCTTTAACTTAACTTGTTGAGAGAGGATGTATTAACAGGTTTGAATGGACACTCTCGACGTCTCTTTGTTTGTAATATCACTTGGAATCATATTTACGCTATAAACAGGTTGTATCCGGTTTCATATTTGCTTTCACTCACAGAGATTTTTTATCATTGAATGTCTGATGACTGGAGGCCTAAAGCTGCTCATTTTAACCTCCATCTTAATCGTAGACATTTGAGATTTTTACTTACCAAAAACCTGTGTTCTACAGAAGCTCAATGCATCAAGCTGCCAGAATTTAACTCAGAGAGGTTTAACCACACTTTTAAGCGGTGCGGGATGTCTTCAGCGGCTTGATATAGCACATTGTTCTTCAGTAAGTTATCGTTTTACTCATTCTCACTTGAACATACTTTGCTTCCTTTGTTTATTATGCCCCGTACCAAAGCATTGGCTGTATGGCTGAATCATCTTAGTTTGGCACTACAACTGATCAGTAGTAACTACGGAAAAGGCCATTTTGAATCATGGATCGATTCTAGGGCTGAGAGCTTCCGTGAGTCTATGATGCCTTCTTATATGAAGTTTTTCTTTCTGATTTAGGTGATATCATTGGATTTTACAAGTAGCTTAAAGAAGGTTTCAACGTTACAGTCAATCAGGTTGGATGGCTGTTCTGTTACATCTGACGGTTTGAAAGCGATAGGCACTTTGTGCAATTCCCTGAAAGAAGTTAGCCTAAGCAAATGTGTCACCGTAACTGATGAAGGACTCTCTTCTCTAGTAATGAAACTGAAAGACCTCAGAAAACTTGACATCACATGTTGCCGGAAATTAAGTGGAGTTTCTATCACCCAAATCGCCAATTCATGTCCCTTACTTGTCTCTTTGAAGATGGAGTCTTGTTCTCTTGTTTCCAGAGAGGCCTTTTGGTTGATCGGACAGAAGTGTCGGCTACTTGAAGAGCTCGACTTAACAGACAACGAGATTGATGATGAAGGTTCTTACTTCCCTTCAGATTAATTCTATGAACCATGAGCTCTGGATCATACCTTACCTCGTTTGTTTATTTTCGTATGATGCAGGACTGAAATCCATATCTAGTTGTCTTAGTCTTTCCTCGTTAAAGTTGGGAATTTGTCTTAACATAACAGATAAAGGGCTCTCATATGTTGGGATGTGCTGCCCAAATCTCCGTGAACTTGATCTCTACAGGTTTGTTGCCTAGAAACTTATTTTGTAAAGGGTCAATAAGATCACCAATCTCAATCTAGTCTTGTCTACTTCAGGTCAGTGGGAATAACAGACATAGGCATCTCCTCGATCGCCCAAGGCTGCATTCATCTCGAAACAATTAACGTATCATACTGCCAAGACATCACAGACAAGTCCCTGGTTTCATTGTCAAAATGCTCGTTGTTACAGATATTTGAGAGCCGGGGATGTCCTAACATAACGTCCAAAGGGCTTGCGGCCATTGCTGTTCGGTGCAAGCGACTCGCCAAGCTCGACTTGAAGAAGTGCCCATCAATCAATGATTCTGGGTTGCTTGCTCTAGCTCACTTCTCGCAGAATCTCAAACAGGTAACGAAACCACCGTTAGAATCCTTAATTGACAGCTGGAAAGACTGGAGAAAAAACCCCTGGTGAATCTTTGATCTGATAGTGGGGAACATGTTGCAGATAAACGTGTCGGACACTGCGGTGACTGATGTGGGAATGCTATCCCTAGCCAACATAGGGTGTTTGCAGAACATAGCGGTAGTGAACTCGAGAGGATTAAGCGCGAGTGGAGTAGCAGCAGCCTTGCTAGGGTGTGGAGGATTAAGGAAAGCGAAGCTCCATGCTTCACTGAGAACAGTCCTTCCTGTATCTCTAATTCTCCACTTGGAAGCTCGTGGTTGTACTTTCCTCTGGAAAGACAACACTCTTCAGGTAATTTGTTCAACTCTTAATAAGTTTTGAATAATGATAAAAAATTATCTGTAGATACTAGCTACTACTAGTACACTAAGTAGATGGTGAAAGAAAAAAAAAAACAAGGACTGGTATGGAGTCTGACAAGTTTGGGATTGTAAATGATGTGGGAGGCAGGCGGAGTTGGATCCTAAGTACTGGAAGTTACAGCTGGAAGATGTTGTGCCTTAAAAAAAAAGCGAGAGGAACATTCGGAATGGGGAAGAGGGAGACAGAGAGGCCCATCTTGGAACGGACCATAATAATAGAGGTGCGCAACATTTTTGTTGGCGTTGTGTTGACGGCGCGTGTACCCCACCCAAACCTTACCTTACATTACATTATAGAGTCTGGTCACATGGGTCATTATACTACTACTGATGGTACCGTTGTAATTTTTGGGTTTTTTTTTTAAATTAAATTTAATTTTTTCTGTGGGTGCCGAAATCAGCGGACGTAACAGAGTCACAAGGGATGATGACTCTGTTCCTTTTTGACTTTATCCTTTTCTGTATTTTATTTTCCCTCTTCCTATTTTATACTAGTATTTTTCTGGTTGTGATAATGTGTAACATCCTCATCATCATCATATGAGTAATAATAATAAGGAAGCGTTTCTCATCAACATTTCCACGTAAGGAAAAGGAAAAAGTGGCGTAATGCGATAAAGACCGTGACTCAGTGGGACCGTGCACTGGTCCACTCCAGGCTCGCACCCACCCACCCTGTTGTTCGTCCATTGTGTGTGAACACACACAAAAGAAAGGGACTCGGTGTGTGACAGCAAACAAGTCTCCCACATTTGCAATAACGGCTAGTGCGCCTTTCGGTTGGTTCGCCCAATTCCATCTTCGTTTTCCCCCTTACACCCTCCTCCAAAAGTGCCTGCTTCTTCTTCTAACACCCTTTCAAGTTTGCAGAATTATTAACCTTTTCTTCATTCAAATCTACTTTTTTTTTTTTTTTTGGTGTATTTGTGTATATATATATATATATATTGAGCAACCCAAACAAACACATGTCATCCAGTCCAAAAAGTATCACCGGCAAATGATGAGCTCAAATTTGGTCTGCCTCACTAAAATATAATACCAAATGATTACTTCCCCTAATCACCTGCATCTTCTTCTTTTTTTTTTTTAATTTGGCCTGATAATTAAAACCTAGAATATTTTAAGGCGAATATATCACCTCATCTCCATTATAATTTAAAACCAAATATAATCGTAATATGGCTACATGTGTTTTTTTTTTTTTTTTTTTTTCACTTTTCCCCAAAGGCTTATATATATCACCACTAATCACATGGAAATATAACAATGTCAAGTGCAGCAAAGATTAACCAAAAATGACTTACCCCCATTATACGGTCAACCATACATCTTTCGTTTGCTCTATTGGTTCATCACATATATCCTTAAAATTGTAGTATTAGTAAAGTCAAATAATGCTACTATACACCAGATGACCCCCAAAAAAAAAAAACATAACTATACACCTAGTTAGTTATAACAGCAATATATAATGTAGCTTATGCATTACCATAGATACATTATTAAGTGATGACGATCAGAGTTGGTAGTTAAGTTCATGATCAGTGATGACCTACTACTAACAACATTTACTAATACGTCTCTAAGTTCAGCATAGTTTGATTATCACTTTCATTGCATTGGATCCACCAAACTTTAGCTTTAAAGTTTCTCCAGGAATTCAGATAATTAATGGAAAAAGCATCCAGGCGAACAAAGAGTAAAAGAGACACGAAATATCGAAATGACGATTGTACCCTGATAATTATTGATAATGATTAGTTTAGAGATTAATAATCCACTAGATAAGTCAGCGTGGCAATTCCGAAGATAAACAGAAAAGACATGTCCTAAAAGACAAACAAACCTCTTTCCGCTGTAGCAAACCGCGTTTGGGAGTCGGAGGAGAGAAACGCTCGTTTCCTTTTTTTTATCTTCTCTCCTGTCTCTTTCTCTCTCTCTCTCTCTCTCTCTCTCTCTCTCTCTCTCTCTCTCTCTTTCCTTGCTAGTTGCTTCTCTCTCTCTCTCTCACTCCAGATTCCATATGTCTTTCTCTCTTTCCTTGTTCGCCGTATAGTTGCCGCACCGTCTCCACCTCCGCGAACTATGCGCTTCTTTTGCCGATATCCTCCGACCACATATCCGATCTGCAATTTTTCTGGTCTTTTCCCAACCTTAATCGGAGCTAATCACACCTCTGCTCGTTTCTCTTCTCGTTAGTCGTCTTCTCCCACCTCCTCAGATTTAGGGTTGATTATAAACTATTTCGCTCCAAATTAACAAACCGAGAGCTATTCTTTCGTTCTTTATTCCCTCTCTGTGTGTGGTGTGAATTCTTTTTTTCTTTTTCTTCTTTTTTCGTTTTGAAATTTGTAAAGTAGTTTTAGCAGTGAGATACAATCTATGGAGATTTCCACGGGGAAGCCAAGCTTCCTGCGGAATATAATGGTTCGCGTGCTTCTCTTTGGTGTTCTTATCATCGTTGTTCGCTTTGCTTACGTTGTCACCATCACCGGTGAATCATGCAACCGCGGCGACTTCTGCTTCTTCTCTCTCCCTGACAATCTCAACTTCGTCATCTCCGGCGCTGGCTCCGGCGCTTCTCCTATCGACGCCATCAGATCTGCCTCCCCAGCCGATGATCTCTACACCACCAGGGATTGGATCAAATCCGTTCACTTTTACTCCTCCATCTTTCAGGATCTGATCGCCGACGGTTATCTCTCCCCGGAATCCAAGACGCTTTGTGTAGAAACCGCGGTTGGGCAAGAGGTTCACTCCCTCAGAGAGATTGGGGTCAAGAACTCCGTCGGGATCTCTAAGAAAGCTTTTAGGCCGTTGGTCCTCAGGGGCGAGGGCCATGCTATACCCTTTGAGGATAACGCATTCGATTTTGTCTTCTCCGGTGGTGGCCGCCTTGGGAAGTCGTTGAAGCAGCTGGAATTCGCCGATGAGATCACTCGAACACTGAAACCCGAAGGGTTTGCGGTGGTTCATGTTGGAGCCACGGATACGTACAGTTTCAATTCATTCCTTGATTTGTTTAATTCTTGCAGATTGGTCAAGATGCGTGATATCGATGGTTTTGATTCTTCAATGCCTCACATCAGAGAATTTGTTATCCAGAAATACTCAGATGTTGATGGTCATCATCACCGGAAGAATTCCGCTGGTGCCGAGTCCGGTGGCAAGTGCTGGATTCCGGGTTACAAAAGGGATTTGATTCGGGATGCAGAGCCACTCATCAAAGAGGAGCCTCTTAAGCCATGGATTACCCTTAAGAAGAACATAAAGAATATTAAATACGTGCCTTCTATGGTAGATATACGTTTCAAGAGCAGATACGTCTACGTTGATGTTGGTGCTCGAAGTTATGGATCCAGTATCGGCAGTTGGTTCAAGAAAGAGTACCCTAAGCAGAACAAAACTTTTGATGTTTTCGCCATTGAGGCTGACAAAGCCTTTCACGAAGAGTATAAGATAAAGAAAAAGGTGAACCTGTTGCCATATGCAGCATGGGTGAGGAACGAGACCTTGTCATTTGAGATTAATCACGATCCGGGAAAGGAAGTAGAAGCCAAAGCAAAGGGCAGGGGAATGGGCCGGATCCAGCCTGTTAAAAGGTCGACCTCGAGCGATGACTTAGCTGGAGAAGTCAATTTGATTCAAGGGTTTGATTTTGCTGACTGGTTGAAGAACAGTGTGAGAGAGAGGGACTTTGTTGTGATGAAGATGGATGTTGAAGGAACCGAATTCGATCTGATCCCGAGGTTAATCAAGACAGGAGCTATTTGTCTAATCGATGAGCTCTTCCTTGAATGCCATTACAACAGGTGGCAGAGATGCTGTCCGGGTCAAAGGAGCCAAAAGTACAACAAGACCTATAACCAATGCTTGGAGCTCTTTACTTCTCTCAGACAAAGAGGGGTTCTTGTCCATCAATGGTGGTAATGGTTAGGGCGCTGCTTAAATATCTCCTTCATTTATGCTTTGGGTGATTATCGTTTCACCAATCTATAAAATGTACTTTCTTCTTATAGAATATAAAGCGGATATTGTAGGTTTCTATTAAAAAAATACTTTGTCTGTGGTGAAATTCCCCTTTACTGTAAGAAGTTTAGCTTGAAATGGAAATTTGAGTTACTTTTACTATCACTCTTCTTCAATTTTATTGCTTCCGGTTTTCTCTGCGTCCAATGTATATATATCTTCTAGTTTTGTGAGCATTTCGGCTTTCCTTGTCTATATGTACGGAGGAAGAACACAAGTTTGTTTATGCTTGTTTTCTGGACTGTTGCCTCGTCTTAGATATTGTAGTCCCGAAGAATGTTTCAAAGTGAAATCTTGTACAAAGTCCAAGCCTATGAATGGAGCAATGCAAATGCCAGGTATGATCGTCTCTTGCCAATTTCTCTTCAATAATATCGTTTTCTCAGATGGATTTTGGTGCTAGACTTGTTCTTTTCGAAGACTATGGGTTATTTAAGAAAAATAGTTGTTTTCAGAAGTTACCTTGCTTATTAAGTTGTTTAAGAGCGACCATTCCGTTTTGTCTACTTGATATGAGATATGAGAACTTAACAAGAAACAGCCAATGGTCTAACTTAGTTTTTTGGGTCTTTTTTTCCTGTTCGTTAGTGTTGATTATATAGAAAACGAGGCTATGATTTGGTGAAGGAGAAGTTGCTTTTATTGCTGTGGATTGTAACAAAGAGTTAAATGAGGAAAATCTATCAAACCAGGTAAACTTTTTATCGGTAGTCTTTAGTATCCAATAATGGATGATGATGATGCTCATCTAGATTTCCATCTAATTTTAGACACAGAAAATAAATAAACATATCTTTCTCCATCCCTGATCTTTCTCTCTCTTTCTCTGTCTCTGTCTCTCTCTCTGTCTCTCTCTCTACAGTTTTTTTGTTCATCTGAAAAAAATTCCTTTTGACCTTTCCATTATAATTTTCAATTTAAGCTTCAAGAGGAGACAATGCCATTTTTTATCGTAGTGTGTTGTTTGATCTAGCAATCATTATTCTCACGAGGTTTCTTACATGCTTGTCTGTTATAGTTTTCCTTCTTTATCCTCCTCTCCTCTTCCTTTGACTTCTTTCTTCGACAAGGCCTCACAAGGCGACCCCATGGAAAGTTTATTTTTCTGCAATTATCTGGTTGTTTCATTTCTGCCCTGCTCTCCTCCCTTCAATTACTTCTTCCAAAGGACCGAACCACACGTTGTGTTTCCATAAATTTCCTGTTTGATTTCCCGTGTTTTTGTTTCTTGTTGCGTACCAGTCTCTAGCAGTCTAAATGGGGGTCTGTTGTAGCAAGGGCACAGGTATAACTGTTGAGAATGGCACGGATGATAGTAATGAACATGGAGATGGGGAGGCTGAGGTTAGGAATACAAATGATGGAGCCGTGATAAGGTCGCGTGGATCATCCAAACATGTTTCCATGGCAATCAAACAAGGGAAAAAAGGGATAAATCAAGACGCTATGACAGTCTGGGAGGTAACAGTTTGTTTCCTGTTGGGTTATTCCATTTCATTTAATGTTCCTGTGGTTCGGTTTCAGAAGAAATTACATGGGATTTGAAGATTTGATGCTGCCTCTCTTACGGCAATATGACCAAATCATATGCATCTTAAACTTTGCTGCAGAACTTTGGTGGGGAGGAAGATATGATCTTCTGTGGTGTATTTGACGGTCACGGTCCCATGGGTCATAAGATTTCTCGTCACGTATGTGAAAATTTACCTTCGAGGATCCATTCGAAAATCCGATCTTCCAAATTTGGCGGCAGCGAAAGCATAGAAAATAATAGTTCACAGAGTCAGGAGGAACTCTTCCGTGAATTTGGGGACATTCTAGTGACATTCTTCAAGCAAATAGACAGCGAACTTGGTCTTGACTTTCCATATGATAGTTTTTGCAGTGGTACAACTGCTGTCACCGTCTTTAAACAGGTAAATCAGCAGTCTTTTAAGCTTTATAAGTTTTTCAAGACAGTTGGTCAAAAAGGGATTGAAATATATTTTGTTAAACATTTGCAGGGTGACTGTTTGGTGATCGCCAATTTGGGAGATTCACGAGCCATTCTTGGCACCCGAAGCAAGAACAGTTTCAAAGCTGTCCAGATCACGGTTGATCTGAAACCATGTGTCCAACGTTAGTGTCTGCTTTTATTCTTTTTAACTTTGGGCCTAACAATGCTTCTTTTAAAAGCTGGGAGATATACATTAATTTCCTGAAATCTTCGTTTTATTTCTGTTAACAGGCGAAGCAGAAAGAATAAGGTCATGCAAGGGAAGAGTATTTGCTATGGAGGAGGAACCCGATGTGTATAGAGTGTGGATGCCTGATGATGATTGCCCGGGGTTAGCAATGTCAAGGGCTTTTGGTGATTTCTGCCTCAAAGATTATGGACTTGTTTCCATTCCTGAGGTCTTCTGCAGAAAAGTTGGTAGAGAAGACGAGTTTGTGGTTCTAGCTACCGATGGGGTAAACAACTTGTATAGCTTTTAGTCTTTTAACAAATGCATTCCATGCTAAAAGGTTTATGTGTGTATTGATGAACAGATTTGGGATGTTTTGTCAAACGAAGAAGTGGTGAAGATTGTAGGTTCATGTAAGGACCGGTCAATGGCAGCTGAGACATTGGTTCAGCGAGCCGCTCGGACTTGGAGAACAAAGTTTCCAGCCTCTAAAGCTGATGACTGTGCCGTGGTGGTGCTTTACCTAAACCACCGGCCTTACCCAAGAGAAGGAAACGTGAGCCGAGCAATATCGAGTATTTCATGGAGATCAAGTAAGAGCAATAACGAGGGTTATGGAGGCGCACCATTGGGTCTACCCCAAAGGGTTTCATAGTAGGACCATTGTTATTGTTGCTGTTTCTAATTGTTTAGTAAAATCTGAACCTCTTGAGCGAGTCGATGCTACTCAACATCAACTTTGTATGTGTGTAATTTACAGAGTGTAAAATAATTTGTTTTTCGATGTTTCTTTTTCGGCAAATCCAAATTTCAACGTCAGTTTGTTCAGGATTCATAAATCTTTTTTTCAGCGCAAATGTAATGATAACCAGCCAGAATAGCTTATCTTAAAACGAAGAAATAAAGATGGTAATTACTTAACAGTTAACACAAATCAAAACTAATAGGAAATGATTAGATAAAAAATATGAGATCGCTTAACACAAAAATGGGGTTTCAAAGTCAGAATCACAAAGACTTAGAGAATGGTTTTGTATTTTTGTGTTAATCTCTCTAGTTAAACTTATCATCAGCGTGGAATGATTTGAAAGAAAGGAGTCAAAGAAGAATGGTAGTGCTTTTAACTTTTGTGTATATTAGAAGAAGACAGTTAGCATTCTACAAAAAGGCTGTACAAATCCATAAAACTGAAGAAGGGAAACAATGTGTGAGAGAGAGAGAGAGAGAGCTCTCATTGCTGGACCGCGAGAACCGAAACAGAGAGCTCGAGATCTTTGGAGATCAACAAATCTCCAACCTCTCCTAACTCCTTCATGTCGCTCCATTCTGACAATCCTTCCAACATCAGTAGATTCTCTTCGTGTCTTATCCCGACCATCATCAGATCAAAGTCGTCTCCTTCCTTCCTTAGCAACTCCAGTAGATCCACCGCTTCCTCTATTCTTACCTTAAGAATGTCAGAGAAACAGAGCAACAACACATTATTATTATGTTTTCGAGAGCTAGCGTCAGAAACCTCTGTTGCATAAACAAGGGTTCGTCTAAAAGGAAATAAGATAGCTACCACCAAAGTCACGCAAAAGGGTTTCTTCCATGCATTACCTCTCTGAAGATGATGTGTTTATCGGAGTTCTCTTTGCGGAAGACATTGATGACTCTCATGTCGTGATTTCTCTCGACCATGTCTCTGAGCGGGGAGATGCCGTTCTGGTCCACGAGTCGGAAGACATGGATGTCTACGCTGGGATGGTTGGCTAAGCGTGTAGCATACGCAAGCATTTCACGGTCATCTGGTCCACCTATAAAGATGGCACAGATATTGATGCTCAGCTTTTTCAGCGGAACGAACCTGAAATCTGGGAGCCTTCCTCGGTCTATGAAAAGCGCAACGGAGCAGGGGCAGTTTTGCAAGAGATTCCGACAAAGGAGCCTCTCCCACGACTCGATCCCGGCATCAAGAGTTAGGATCACGAGATCTGTTTCCTGGTCAAAGGCAATGACACACACGTCCTCGTGCATAGTCTTTCGCGGGGCCACTGCGGTGAAGCACTCTATCAACACGGTCTCCGGATTACTCCTCTCGAAGTTGTGGAAGGCCTTGACAATCTGGTCTCTTCGGCTAGGCACGATGAAGGGACTTATCTCTTGCGTGTGATGGATAAGGAGAGGAAGACTATGGTTGTTGAGCTCTTCTAGATTCACTGCGAAGACGGAGAGAGGAGAACCGATGGCTGGGCGAGAGAGTTCGACAATGTCGAGCACCGGACGTACCGCCTCACGGTTCCGGAAACAAGTGAGGATCCTCAGCGGAGCCTCCACGCGGCAGTGTTGCACCGTACGTCTCTTGTAAGGGTTGCGTTTGCTCATGGTTTGGTACAGTTTCTTCACTATCACTATGATAAGTGTTGAGCTTACCATTGCTGACATTACCATTGCTCCAAAAGATTTGTTTGATATTTTCTGCACCCCTTGACCAAAAGTATCCATTATTTTTATTGACCTAGCTAAAACCACACCTGTGGTATAGTAGATGAACTATAATGAGGGACATATAAATACCGTGTAATTGAGGTTCTGTTTGTATATTTGAACGTCGTAAATGCCTTGGATATTGACGATAAACCCGACAAGAATGGCGTGCCAAAGAGGCACGTTGTAGTAAAGGCAAGGCAAGGCAATGGCTATCATTTTGGCAAAGCGGATCACGCCAAAAAGTATCTCATAACGGATTACATCTCCCCAGGAAAACTGTGAGAGATCGATATTGTGGCCAATCCCAATGATGTAGCAAGGCATCAGGAAAGCCCAAACAAAACAACCGATTTTGTCTGACAGCCCGGTGCCTAGAGGCGGGCGTTTTGGGGTGGCTAGACCTAGGACGACCGCACCAAAGAAATAAGGTAATCTCGCAAATTCTGCCCAGAGACTGGTGAC